TACACAAGGCATAAAATCCCCTTTGGGACAGTGGGTGTATGATGAGTTAACTGTTTTGCAGAATATAACCCTACAGGTACTATGGATTCCAAGTTGAAAGAACCTGAATTTAAATTGGCCACAGCCTGGAGCTGGAAATATGCCCCAAGGAATGGTGGGTGGACCAAATTCATCCCAACTGTACTGTGTACATAAAAGGATGGAAAAAGCAATTTGATTGGTGGGCACACCTGGAATCGTCGTCAGACAAGGGGATTGTAGGCAGCAGTGAACACTCTGCTGGGCACATAGAATCTCGTTGATGTATATGTAACCAAACAATTGATAAGCCAAAATGTGAGATTTCAACAACAAATCAATGAATTAATGGCACAGCAACTATCAGCAGTTGCCACGGGATGGAGGACGGTAGTAGAGGTGAACCTGCGGGTAACTCATTGGGCAGGAGCCCTTGTGACGTGGGCAGGATGGCTTCAGAAGGCTAAGGTGTGTGTAGGTATACAAAATGCTCAATGAATAATGTTAATGGATATCATGAGAGATGCTAGGTCAGAACAATGGCCTTCGGTGTTAAATTGGGAGGCTAACCCATATATATCCACACTTGGGAAAATATACCCATCCACCTGGAAAATAATATCCCCGACCTGTGGGGCCAGTACTTGTGTAATTGTTACTATGATACAATGGGAAGGGAATGCAATTAAGGTGGTCCTCCTGAACCCTCTAGGAGTAACAAGAAAAGGAGGAGTGTGTTGGGAACCACTGGGAAATAGATGGGGTGGGTGGAACGGTGTGAATTGGACTATCATTGCGTTAACCAATTGTGTATCCAGACGGGGCACCTGGGTGTGCTCCTCTCCTATGACTATGGAGGAGCAGGATCAATGGCCTCTTGCAAGGGGGGGCATTTAGGGGTAATGTATATGGGGCACGGGGTATTCTGTTGGGATTGTATGCAATCCTGTAATATAACACTAGGAGGCAAAACCATACCAGTGTAAGCAGAGTCAGGATAAGCTCTACCCTGACATCTGGTGGTGAATTATGGTGAGGGTTGAACAGAACTTCAGGGGCTGATCTTGTTTGCATAGGCACACCCACCTGCCTAGCCTGGGACAACAACAACTGAAAGTGGTTACTTTGGCTGGTGTGGGATCCCCAGTTTCTCTGTTATTGGGGCAGGAAGAATAAAGTGTTGTTACCCTAATTCTGTGAATCAAGGCCAGTGGAACTGTTGTATGACCGAGGGACTCACCAGTAATAAGTAGCACTTGCTAGACAAGGGGCATGAGTTACAAAACCCAGTGATTTGAGAGAGGTTGGGGATAGGTATGTGTACCTGATGGTATGGGGCCCCTTTTGGGGGCCTGGAACACCAATTGCATTCCCCCCCGTCTCTCCACTGTTGAATAGAAGGGCTAAGTTTGCTTCCATTAGGAGTCTAGCTAGAAGTTGCTGAACTGAATTCACTTTGGGCCAATGGTGAACCAGCCCTGGGGCTCCCCTACTACAAGCTGAAATCACTAAGAGCTGAAATCACTAAAAGAGCTAAACTTGCTGAGCTGAGATCACTGAGTGCTGTGTTAACAAGTGGGGGAGCCTGAAGATATATTGCTAAGCAGCTGGCAGAGCCGAGCAGTTTGTGGGACGGTTGGAGCGGCCCACGGAACGGGGAGCAGAGCGGAGCAGAGCAGTTTGCGGGGATGACTGGAGGAGCGGAGCCATTCGTGGTAAAGGCTGCAGCAGAACTCCATGGAGGGGTGGGGCAGTCGGCCTCGGACCACGTAAGGTGCCCCTTAACATCCCGTGTGCCCCCCCCCATTTTCGCCCAGGCTGGGGGGGTAAAACTCTGCAGATAAACTTTTGAATTCTAGGGCAGCACTGACCAGGGACAGAGACTTTGGGGTTGTTGGACTTTGGGGTGATTGGATTTAAGACCCTGAGGGGAAAAGGACACTGCCAAACTTCCTTGGAAGTGGGTCTTTTGCTCATGGTTTGTGTTATAAATACTGTTTGTGGTGTTTCCCCAACATAATGACGCATTGTTTCCCTCCTTTATTAAAAGGCTTTAGCTACACTCAGACTCCGTGCTTGCGAGAGGGGAAGTATTGCCTCCTAGAGGCGTCCGGGGGGGTGGTATGTAATTGTCCCAGGTCACTGGGTGGGGGCTTGAGTCGGTTTTGCATTGCGTTATTGATACAGAACCCCTAGATACTGAAACCGGCCCTTGTTGCTGCCAACTCAGAGGGGCAGAAGGGTTACACCAGCATATGAGCATATTATAAATGTCTATACATTGCGACCTGGACTATGGTGCACTAATTCATCAGTGGACCTAATCGCTGTAAACAATTGAACCAGCACCTATTACCCCATTCTGTACCAAGTAGTGAAATTGGTGTAAACAATACCGAATTTCATTGTGGATATTCAATGGAAACACAAAATGGACCAGAGTACACAAAGATTACAGGAGCAACTCACTGCGGCCGCCAATAGTTGAACACACTTACAATACACACGTCCAGATGGCGTTGACAGAATGTTAACCCTGTCGAAGGAGGAGAAGCAGTGGTTTTGGTGTTGGTTGGGATGTTGGACTATACTACAGTGGTCAGGACTCTCGGTGTTGCTGTGGATTATCATGGCGGCTGGTGTGTTTTAAGTATAGTTTTGTTACGTTGTATAGGGAAACAGTCAAGAGGGGCACAACCCTATAAAGAATGGCCAATTATTATAACCCATAAGTAATTTAACAAGGCCTCCAGCCTAGTGTACTAGACAACCCAGACCCAACCTTCTTGGGCCCACTATAATGAGAAGTCTGGAGCATTAATTGGAATAGGTGTGGTATGCCCATACCAGAGAAGGTGCAGCGCATTGTACTACACAAGGGGCAGTGGGACAGATGGAGCATTGACACATTCCACCATGATGCCTGGCCCTATCAGGAAATGTGTCGCCATACATCCTTTGCTTTTCCAGGGACACCTGGGCAGGAGGATCCCAAAAGAAAAGAAAGGGGTGGAGTGTTACAATATAAATATTCAGACCTGCCAGTAAAGGCCTATACTTTAAGAACTTAGCTGTATTTTTATCATTTAGCTAGTTACAGGGGTATAAACAAAGAATCAAAACCACAGTCTGCCTGTGTCTGGGCCTTCTCTCACCAGGAGAGTCTGAGGCCTTGTTCTTAGGCTCGGGCCTTTGGCTAAGCAGCAGGGGCAGCCATAAGCCGGGAAGCGAATGGTCACATCCTCACCTCCCAAACCAGCCACACTGACATAAGGTGCTATTGGGCTGTTAATAAGATGACCCTATCCAGGGCTGGCTTTAGGACCTGCAGGGCCCAATTCGAAAGAGCTGCCACCGAAATGCCGCTGAAGACAGTGGTAGCGATTGAGTTGCTTCCAAAGATAGTGGTGGCAATTCGGCGGCGGCTCAATTGGTTGCCACTCTTTCTGGCAGCACTTCGGCAGAGGGTCCTTCCTCAGCAGCAGTTGTCTTCCGGGGCCTTACCTTCCGGGTCCCCTCTTCCAGATGCTGCGGAGCCCTCTTAGGCACGAGGCCCAATTCACGGGAATCGGGGAGAATCGGCCTAAAGCCGGCCCTGATCCTATCTTGACAGTGTCCATCTCCACCAGATAAAGAAACAGCTCTTAAGATGGTTAAAGAAAACTTAGTTTGATAGCATCCTGTCTGGCAAGAAATCACTTCTCAATGGTTGTGTTTGCAAAGCCCTCATTTCCGTATGTTTTATCTTTATGGCCCCCACTTTTCTATTCTTAATCTGTCTGGTTCTCTCCTTGTTTCTTTCTGCTGTATAACTAATTTTGCTAGGTGTCAGTTAATTAGCGTAGTGGCATATAATAGGTTAGAGAATTATGTTACACTATGTTAGGATTGGTTAGTTAAATCTCAGTAAAACAATTGGCTAAGGTATAGCTGAGAATATTACTATATAAACTGGGGTAAAACAGGAAGTGGGGGGAAGGGAAATTGGCATCATGCTTGCAGGACATTAACCCCAATGAACATTCTGCTGTCTGCACTACTGACTTCTGGTCTTTTGCTGCTTGGTGTCTGCATGACAAGAACCAGGGACATGGGAGGGTGGAGGGGAAACCCCCTAACAGCTCCCCTGCACCCCACAATGGGTCCTACCAAGGTGTCTCCATTCGGCTGTCCACATCTGTGGGCAGGAGGGCGGGGCCACCTTTGGAAAGCAGGGGCTGAGAAGCACCGTCCAGCTGACTCCACCATGCGAGGGCCCAGCAGCAGAGACACCAGCTGGGACTCTGCCCTCTACTCCATTCTGGCTGGGGAAAGTGAACAGAGCCCTGCAGGGAGTGGGACGCGTGAGATTCTTGTCCCTGCCTTTGGTTCAGGGAACCCACCCCTCTGCCCGGGCCATGTTACAGACCAGCCAAGGCTAAGGAAACCCTCGCTCTGTGCTAGAGACCACAAAAACCACAGCCAGCCTGCAACCTGCCTTCGTCTCTCATCATTTGCCTGGAGGCCTCAGGCGTGTGGACACTTCTCAGCTCAATGTGAGCTCCCAGGGCCAACAGAGCTCAGGGCATCCTGAGATGCATCAAAAGGAGAATCTCTATTAGGAGCAGGAAGTAGATTTTCCCTCTGGATCCGGCCCTGATACAACCGTTGCTGGGATTAGTGTCCGGTTCTGGCGCCCAGCCTTCAAGAAGGATGTTGAGAAACTGGTAATGGTCTCAAGTTGCAGTGGGGGAGGTTTAGGATGAATATTAGGAAAAACTTTTTCACTAGGAGGGTGGTGAAGCACTGGAATGGGTTACCTAGGGAGGTGGTGGAATCTCCTTCCTGAGAGGTTTTTAAGGTCAGGTTTGACAAAGCCCTGGCTGGGATGATTTAGTTGAGGATTGGTCCTGCTTTGAGCAGGGGGTTGGACTAGATGAGCTCCTGAGGTCCCTTCCAACCCTGATATTTTATGATTCGATGATTCTATGAACTGGAGAGGATCAGAGAAGAGCCATGAGAAGCATTAACGGACTGGACTCCAGGCTTGGCAGAGAGAGACTCCAGGAGTCTGTCACTTCAGTTTATCAAAGGACACGTCTACACCAGGAAGGCTGCACAGATGTAGCTGCACTGCTGTAGCGGCTCAGTGAAGACTCTGTCTCTGCTGACGCGAGAGCTTCTCTCCTTGGCGTAGTTAATCCACCCCACCACACCCCCGAGAGGCGGTAGCTGTGATGACAGAAGAAGCGTTGTCTACACCGGGAGTTACGTCAGTATAACAGCGTCACCCAGGTCGGTGGGTTTTACACCCCCCGGAGGGACGTAGATATACCAACAACAGTTGCGAGTGTAGACCAAACAAAAGGGAAGGTGATGGGGTGACTTGATTACCAGTTTCTGACAAGCAATTGGAATGCACGGATGCTGCCATCTACTGGACAGGTGGTTTTACTGCCATCGTCAGCCCTGAGCCTTTGCATAACAGTCTCTAGCAGTGGTTCTCAACCAGGGTACGTGTACCACTGGGGGTACGCAGAGATCTTCCAAGGGGTACATCAACTCCTCTGGATATTTGCCTAGTTCTACAACAGGCTACATAAGAAGCACTAACCTAGTCAGTACAAACTACAATTTCATACAATGACTTCTTTCTACTGCTCTATATACTGTCCCCTGAAATGTAAGTAGAATATTTATATTCCAGTTGATTTACTGTATAATTATATGCTAAAATGAGAAAGTCAACTATTTATCCCCGTACTAGTGTGCTGTGACATTTTTATTTTTAGTCTGTTTTTGTTAACAAGTCGGTTTTAAGTGAGGTGAAAACTGGGGGTACACAAGACAAATGAGAATCCAGAAAGGGGTACAGTAGTCTGGAAAGGTTGAGAGCCACTGGTCTATTGGGCCTTTTCCCACTGAGATGTGGCCACCCCTGAGGTGGGGCATGGGGGCTGTTTATACAAGTGACAGGGAAGAATTTGGGTGGGGTCTGCTGCGGGGGGTGGGTTGGAGTCAGCGTTCCTGGAACTATTTGTGTAGTGAGGGTGCTCAGAGCCACTGAATCAAACTTTAAACCCTGTATATGATGGGAACCACTTCAATTCTGGGGGTGCTGCACCAATGGGTGAGGCAGAGAGAGATCTGGGGAGGCTGCTTTAGGGAGTGGAGTCGGGGGGCCAGAGGGATCTGGGGAGCGGGTAGGGAAATGGGGACTGCAGTGGAAGAGGGGGTGGGGGAACGGAGGAACCTGAGGTAGGCGGTAAGGAGGGCAGAGACATATCTGCAGAGGGGACACTGTGGATTTCACCCTAGCATTGAAGCTGGAAGGTTTAATCTCACTTTCTTACCTATGTCCTGGAAGATTCAGACACAACATCTTAGAATTGATTCCCCCAACACACACATATGACCTGCAGCTTCCCCCCACCCCCCACTGACACTGTCTGGGGGCAGGAAGCTGTCATCTTGGGGGCGGGCGCACGGCGGGGGGTTGGTTCAGTCGGGTTGGGAGATGCTCACAAAGCTGGGTCTGCAAAACCTCCAAGGAGGCCAGCTCCGTGCAAGCCTCAAACAGCTCAGCTCAGCTCTGGGGCCTCTCGTGAAAAAAGGTCTGAGGTCCCGTCTGCAGAGACGGTCACCCACATCCACGGCAGCCACAACCCGAGAGCAGGAGCTGAGCTGCGGCCTCATCGTTGCAAAAATTCAGCCTGTTCACACCTGGAAATGCACCAGACCCAGCTTGGGCCCCTGAAGTGTCGCTGGGTCAGGAGTGATTTGTGGGTGGGCCCTGCTGCCTTTCACCCCCAGTCACCCCACAAACATCCTGAAGAGACCTTGCCAGGTGGCGAATGGATCGTGAATCTCTCGCCTTGTTGGCTGTGAGTCACAAAACATTGTGTCTGCTCCACAACTGGCTGGTTGATTGGTTGGACACGGGAGAATGGCCAGCGACATTGCAAAGAGCTAAAGCTGCATGAATTTGGGCCAGGAATATCAGGATTCATTCAGACATTACTTTAAAAAGCCACTGTGACGGGGTTCCCGGCATGTAACCTGGACTATGGGACCACTGAGCCCTCTGTCCCAACACCCTGGAAGTCCCTCTCACACTGTGATGCTGTGTCAAGTTACAAACCGCTGGCAGGCCCTTCACTTACACAGCCATCCCCATGCAGGGAAACACCCAGCTGAGTTCCAGGAATGCTTCTTCCAGCCACTCATGAACCATCAATAGGAAGGCTCCAGTCAATTCCCCCGGCTCCCTGGCCTTGCAGCACAGAAATGTACAGTCCTGCCCTAGTCAGAAGCCTGGCCAGCGTAAGTTCCTTACCCAGTCGGTGCCTCCCCCGATGTGGAGAGCACAAACACCAGCCTTTGTAAACCGAGCTGACATTTCTCAGCATGTCAACCAAACACAGAGTTTTACGTAGAATATAAAACAGGTTTATTAACTACAGCCAGAGAGATTTAAAGTGTTTATAAGCATCGAGCATAGAGATCACAGTTGGTTACACAAGAAATAAAAGTAAATTCACAGTCTGAGTTCTATAAACTAAACAGGCTTTGAATCAAGCCATGTTTCACCCTGGCAGAGGGTACAAGCAGGTGACAGATCCTCAATAATCAGGCTGGGACTCACCTCCAGCCTCAGTCCCCGTCCCCATTTCAAAGTCTTTGTCCTCCAGAGATGTTTCCAGGTGTTGAGTTGTGGGGGGAGTGAGGCCAAGCGGTGATGTCACTTCCCCTCTTTTATAGTTTTTTCCAGCTTCAGGAAAGATCTTTTGCTATGATGCGGGTCAAACGGTCTCCATTGTCTAGGTGCTCCCTCTCAGAAATCTCCATTTTATACAGTTCCTGAGATAGTGGATTCTTGGATGGGTGCTGATGAGCCTTTAATGCTGTCTGGCTCCTCCATTGTCATACCTGAGAGGCTGGTTGTGGGTGTTCCCCAACATCAAAACTTACTTCAGTAACACACACATAGCAAACTTCACAACCTCACATACAATGACAGCATGTACAATCCAATGGGATATTAATTTTCAACAGATCAAGACTTTTAAAATCACACCTCACAAGGCAGATTTTGTATAGCACATATCATAATATGATGACAGTGGTGAATATGGGAGTTCCAGAGTGCTGTTTTGAGGTACAGAGTGCAACAGCCACACAGGACTAGATTTTTAAAGGTGGCTAAGAGAGTTAGGTGCCAAATTGCCATTGAAAGTATGAGTTAAGCACCTAACTCTTATATGTGTTTTTTCAAAATCTCACCTGCAGAACCCTAAGTCAATTCAATTACATCATGTAATGCAAGACAGCTCAAAAGTAATATTTAAGTTCTTATATACATATACTAGAAGTCTAAATAATATGGGTGACACTGAGTGCCTCGTATTAAATGAGGCTATCGACACAACAGGCATCACAGAAAGTTGGTGGAATGAGGATAATCAACGGGACAGAGTAATACCAGGTTACAAAATATATCAAATATTTTGGTAGGACAGAAGAGGACATCCTGGTTGGGGATTGGCACTATATGTGAAAGAAAGCATAGAGTCAAATGACGTAAAAATATTAAATGAACTAAACTGTACCATAGAATCTCTCTGGATAGCAATTCCATGTCCGAATAATAAGAATATAGCAAGAGGGATATACTACCGACCACCTGACCCGGATGGTGATAGTGACTGTGAAATGCTCAGGGACATTAGAGAGGCAATAAAAGTAAAAAATTATGGGGAATTTCAACTGTCCCCAAATTGACTGGGTACATATCACCTCAGGACGGGACACAGACATAAAGTTTCTTGAGCAGCTAGTCCTGGAACCCACAAGGGGAGAGACAATTCTTGATTTAGCATTAAGTGGAGCACAGGATCTTGTCCAAAAGGGGAATATAATGGAACCGCTTTGTAATAGCGACCAGAATATAATGAAATTTAACATCCCTGTGGCAGAGAAAACGCAACAGCAGCCCAACGAGATAACATTTGTTTTTAGAAAGGGGAACGACATAAAAATGAGGAAGTTAGTTAAACAGATATTAAAGGCACAGTCCCAAAACTGATATCCCTGAAAGCTGCATGGAAACTTTTTAAAGACACCATAAAAGAGGCTCAAAAATATATCCCAAATTAAAAAACATAGTAAGAAAATGAAAAAAGGGCCACCATGGCTAAACAACAATGTAAAAGAAGCTCTGAGAGGCAAAAAGGCATCCTTTAAAAAGTGGAAGTTAAATCCTATTGAGGAAAATAGAAAGGAGCATAAACTCTGGCAAGTGAAAATGCCATTAGAAGGCCAAAAGAGAATTTGAAGAACAGGTAGCCAAAGACTGAAAAAGTAATAGGAAGCCTGCTTAACTACGAGAGGGGCTACTAGGCAATCGAGATGCTAAAGGAGCACTCAGTGATGATAAGGCCATTGCAGAGAAACTAAATTAATTCTTTGTATCTGAGGATGTGAGAGAGAATCCCAAACCTGAACCATTCTTTTTAGGTTACAAATCCGAGGAACTGTCCAAGATTGAGGTGTCATTAGAGGAGGTTTTAGAACAAATTGATAAAATAAACAGTAATAAGTTAGCAGGACCAGGTGGGATTCAGCTAAGAGTCCTGAAGGAACTCAAATGTGAAATTGCAGAACTACTAGCTATGGTATGCAACCTATCATTTAAATTGGTTTCTGTAACAGATGACTGGAGGATAGCTAATGTGACACCAACTTTTAAAAAAGGCTCCAGAGGTGATCCCGGCAATTAGAGGCCACGAAAACTAACTTCAATGCCCACCAAACTGGTTGAAACTATAGTAAAGAACAGAATTATCACACACATAGATGAACATAATTTGTTAGGAAAGAGTCCTCATGGTTTTTGTAAAGGGAAATGATGCCTCTGCAATCTACTGGAATTCTTTGTGGGGGTCAAAAACGATATGGACAAGGGTGATCCAGTGGATATAGTGTACTTGGAGTTTCAGACAGCCTTTGACAAGATTCCTCACCAAAGGCTCTTAAGCAAAGTAAGCTGTCGTGAGATAAGAGGGAAGGTCCTCCCATGATCAGTAACTGGTTAAAAGATAGGAAACAAAGGGTAGGAATAAATGGTCTGTTTTCAGAATGCAGACTGGTTAATCGCAATGTCCCCCAGGGATCTGTACTGGGACCAGTGCTGTTCCAAATATTCATAAATGATCTGGAAAAAGGGATAAACAGTGAGGTGGCAAAATTTTCAGATGATACAAAACTACTCAATATAGTTAAGTTCAAAGCTGACTGTGAGGAGTTACAAAGGGATCTCACAAAACTGGGTGACTGGGCAACAAAATGGCAGATGAATTTCAATGATAATAAATGCAAAGTAATGCACATTGGAAAATATAATCCCAACTATACATAAAAAATCATGGAATCTAAATTAGCTGTTAACAATCAAGAAAGAGATCTTGGAGTCATTGTGGAAAACATCCACTCAATGTGCAGCGGCAGTCAAAAAAGCGAACCGAATGTTGGGAATCTTTAAGAAAGGGATAGATAATAAGACTGAAAATATCATATTGTCTCTATATAAATCCATGGTACACCCACATCTTGAATACTGCATGTAGATGTGGTTGCCCTATCTCAAAAAAGATATATTGGAATTGGAAAAGGTACAGAAAAGGGCTATGAAAATGATTAGGGGTATGGAAAGCTTCCATAGGAGAAGATATTAATGAGACTGGGGCTTTTCAGCTTGGAAACGAGATGACTAAGGGGGGATATCATAGGAGTCTATAAAATCCTGAATGGTGTGGAACAAGTAAATAGGGAAGTGTTATTTATTCGTTCTCTTAACACAAGAACTAAGGGTCCCCCAATGAAATTAATAGATAGCTGAATTAAAAAAAACAAAAGAAAGTATTGCTTCACGCAATGCACAGTGAACCACAGGATGTTGTGAAGGGCAAGACTATAATGGTTAAAAAAAGAACTAAACAAATTCATGGAGAATAGGTCCATCAGTGGGTATTAGCCAGGATGGACAGGGATGGTGTCCGTAGCCTCTGTTTGCCAGAAGCTGGGAATGGGTGACAGGGGATGGATCACTGGCTGATTCCCTGTTCTGTTCATTCCCTTTGAGGCACCTGGCTTTGACCACTGTCAGAAGACAAGAAACTGGGCTAGATTGACCTTTACTCTGACTCAGTATGGCCGTTCTTATGTTATGTTCTCATTGACTCTCAGCAAAGTTCCTACAAGCCAAAACACTTTTAAAAATAGGACTTAGACACTTTTGAAAATGTTACCCTATGTTTCATAGACCTGTTGATCTTCAGGAACCACCAGACAGAAGAAGAGCTGGAGCTCCACCAGATGCAAGGATGACATGATGACAAAAACAACGACATGAAGACACAGAAAAGGACAGACCATAAATAACAAAACACCCCAAAATAATCTAAAAATAGAAAAAAAAACCCTAAGAATCCATATATTTCTTTATCATGACAGATTCATAGATTTCAGGACTGGAAGAGACTGGTGTGATCATCTCCTCTGACCTCCCGGATCACACGGGCCACAGAACTACCCCAAAACAATTCCTAGAGCAGAGCTTTTAGACAAACATCCTGGCTTGATTTAACATTGCCAGTGATGGAGAATCCACCAGGACCCTTGGGAAATTGCTCCAATGGGCAGTTAATCTGATAATTACAAATTTACACCTCATTTCCAGTCTGAACTGGATAATGTTAGACCTTCCTCTGCTGGCTTGAAGATCCCGTTATTAAATACTTGTTCCCCACGTAGGTACTTACAGACTGTTATCAAGTCACCCTCTTCACCTTCTTTTTGATAAGCTAAATAGATTGAGATCCTTGTTTCTGTCACTCCTAGGCAGGTTTTTTAACCTGTAATCATTCTTGTGGCTTGCTAAAAAAGAAAATTTTGGGATTAAGAGGAAGTTACGGATCCAGCGAACAGAATTCTTTCTCCAGGCAAATATCGACAATTCCATCTGTTCCCCTATTCATCCGGCTCCGGCCCCGAGTTGTCAGTGGTTTGGGGGTTGCGTGCACGTTGCCGGTACCTCAGAAACTCTTCTTCCATGGTGAGGTAGAAGATGGGGTTGAGGCAGCTACTGAAATATGTCAGGACACAAGCAAAAGCGCTTCCTATTTGCAGAAGAGGCAGAGGGTATATATCTGTGATCTGCAGGAAGGAGAAGACGTGATGTGGCAGCCAGCAGAGGAAAAAGGTCGGGATCAAGCCAAGAAGGATCTCGAGTGGCTTGGTGGACTGGATCAGCCTGTTCCTTCTCAGTTTGGCAGCTAGAACGATGTAGAAGGTTGGGATTAAGATCAAGGCTAATGGGATCAGAAACCCGACCAGGAACTGGATCACAACTGCAGCCTTCACCCTCCCTGCATCTGGATGGAAATTCATGCTGATAATGGGAGGTGAGAGCAGGTAGTCTGAGAGATCACCGTAACTCAAGCTCAACCCAATAGACAGGGCCCACAAGCCTATAATCACCCTGAAAGCCAGGGCAGGCGTGCAGCAGTTCCAGGCCCACTCAGGGCGCGCCACAAGGATGCAGCGATCAACACTGAGGGCTGTGAGGATAAAGGTGCTGGAGAACATGTGGAGGGAGGTGACGGTGCTGATCAGCTTCCAGGTACAGTCAAAGTCAAGGATGAAGATGGAAATGAATCTGAGGGGCAGGAAGATGATGAAGATGAAATCAGCCAGGGCCCGGTTCCAGAACCACACGGCACTGACCGTTCTCTCCAAACAGCACCCAGCGACGAAGAGGATGTAGCCATTCAAGGGCACCCCGACTAGGAAGGTCACACCACACAGCACCAGGAAGACGATTAGGAACACCATTCTTTGAAGAGTTGCAGTCACAATATCCCCTCCTTCGTCAGGTCTTGGTGGGGGCAGTACAGACGTTCTACTGAACAAAGGAAGGAAGAGCAATGAAAAGGGCTCCAGGAGGGGATGTGGACAGAATGAGACAGCCACAAAGTTTGTAATCTTCTCAGAGTTTACAAACTCCCCAGATCCTAAGCTTAGCTCAAATAGGACCAAATACAATAGTTCAAAGACCTTAGAAGCATAGAGCCAGAGGGTTAGGCGGGGACCACAAGGGTCATCTCATCTAACCCCCTGCCAAATGCTAGAAGTCTAAATAATAAGATGGGTGAACTAGAGTGCCTTGTGATAAAGGAGGATATTGATATAATAGGCATCACAGAAACCTGGTGAAGTGAGGACAATCAATGGGACACAATCATTCCGGGGTACAAAATATATCAGAGGGATAGAACAAGTCATGCGGGGTGGGCGGAGTGGCACTATATGTGAAAGAAAATGTAGAATCAAATGAAGTAAAAATCTTAAATGAATCCACATGTTCCATAGAATCTCTATGGATAGTAATTCCATGCTCTAATAAGAATATACCAGTAGGGATCTATTATCGACCAGCTGACCAGGACAGTGATAGTGATGATGAAATGCTAAGGGAGATTAGAGAGGCTATCAAAATAATGAGCTCAGTAATAGTGGGGGATTTCAATTATCCCCATACTGACTGGGTACATGTCACCTCAGGACGAAATGCAGAGACAAAATGTCTCGAAGGTTTAAATGACTGCTTCTTGGAGCAGCTGGTACAGGAACTCACAAGGGGAGAGGCAATTCTCGATTTAGTCCTGAGTGGAGTGCAGGAGCTGGTCCAAGAGGTAACTATAACAGGACTGCTTGGAAATAGTGACCATAATACAATAGCATTCAACATCCCTGTGGTGGGAAGAACATCTCAACAACCCAACACTGTGGCATTTATTTTCAGAAAGGGGAACTATACAAAAATGAGGGGGTTAGTTAAACATGCATTAAAAGGTACAGTGACTAGAGTGAAATCCATGCAAGCTGCATGGACACTTTTCAAAGACATAAGAGAGGCCCAACTTAAGTGTATACCCCAAATTAAAAAACCCAGTAAAAGAACTAAAAAAGAGCCACCGTGGCTTAACAACCATGTAAAAGAAGCAGTGAGAGATAAAAAGGCATCTTTTAAAAAGTGGAAGTCAAATCCCAGCGAGGTAAATAGAAAGGAGCATATACACTGCCAAATTAAGTGTAAAAGTATAATAAGAAAAGCCAAAAGGGAGCTTGAAGAACATGTAACCAAAAACTCCAAAGGTAATAACAAAATGTTTTTAAGTACATCAGAAGCTGGAAGCCTGCTAAACAACCAGTGGGGCCTCTGGACGATCGAAATACAAAAGGAGCACTTAAAAACGATAAAGTCATTGTGGAGAAACTAAATGGAATCTTTGCTTCAGTCTTCACGTCTGAGGATGTTAGGGAGATTCCCAAACCTGAGCTGCTTTTGTAGGTGACAAATCTGAGGAACTGTCACAGATTGACGTGTTACTAGAGAAGATTTTGGAATTAATTGATAAATTTAACAGTAACAAGTCATCGGGACCAGATGGCATTCACCCAAGAGTTCTGGAAGAACTCAAATGTGAAATTGCAGAACTATTAACTATGGTTTGTAACCTGTCCTTTAAATTGGCTTCTGTACCCAATGACTGGAAGTTAGCTAATGTAACGCCAATATTTAAAAAAGGCTCTAGAGGTGATCCCGGCAATTACAGACAATTACAGTCTAACATCAGTATTGGGCAAATTAGTTGAAACAATAGTAAAGAATAAAATTGTCAGACACATAGAAGAACATAAATTGCTGGGCAAAAGTCAACATGGTTTCTGTAAAGGGAAATCATGTCTTACTAATCTATTAGAGTTCTTTGAAGGGGTTAACAAACACGAGGACAAGGGGGATCCAATGGACATAGTGTATTGGATTTCCAGAAAGCCTTTGATGGTAGGAGAGAGATCACTTGATCATTACCTGTTAGGTTCACTCCCTCTGGAGCACCAACATTGGCCACTGTCGGTAGACAGGATACTGGGCTGGACCCAGTACCGCCATTCTTATGTTCTTATGTTCAAGATGCAGGATTTGTTGTGTCTATTCTCTGTCCGAACATTTTTTTGTTTTTACATAGTATCAGTTGTTTTTACTAAATCAAATATTTAAAAAAACCCACATTTGCTTCTTGCTGAAAGGTTAGATTTCTAGGCAAGTGAGATGGACAGTGGGTAGTGGGGTGTCCTGGAGGCAGAGACAGAGTGTGAGACACCCTGCAATCTAACTAAAATTCCCAAATAATCTTCTTGCTTTTAGTTTCCCAAAAGGAGCTGGTAATTCCAGTCATTCTTAAAAAAAAAGTTAATGAATGATTGTCTCCCCCCCCCATTTTTTTTAAATAATGGAAATTTTGAAAGTGATTCTTCTCCCACCCGCCTTCATTTTGATGTGGAGTTTTTGTGTGGTTTGGGCCATTTTGGGAGGTGAATTAGTGGAGTAAGCAAAATCCACACCCAAAGATTCCCCCCAATGGAAATGTCTGGTGACAGAGAGCAGTTCCCCAGGAGGAGAAAAGTAAGACTGAAACAACGACGTCAACAAAAAAGTCCTAAAAACACCAGAAGAAGAAGAGACCAGTAACAAGCCAAAAGATCTTTTTTTAAAAGGAGGATATTGCAAGAGTCTATTTTAGTGGACAGACATGGAGTCAGGACGCCTGGGCTGCATCCCAGACTCTGCCACTGAATTGTTCGGGGAGATTGGATAACTCATGTCATTGCCCCGTGACTCAGTTTCCAATCCAAACAGTTCTCTGTTTAAATGTGAGCTCGCTGTGGCCAGGCCTGTTTCTCCCTGTGGGTCTGTGCAGCGCCTGGCACGACAGGGCCCCTGAGCTCGGTCAGGGTCTGTGCAACACCCAGTGTGATGGGGGCACCTGACCTTTGACAAAAGGACCCACAAATAATTTCAACCCACTCTATCTGGAGTGGAAGAGGGGAGGGGATGGGACAGCTGGGAGGGGGGATATTGGGCAGTGATGGGGGGCAAAATCAGAGCCAGTGGACCATCTGGGGGGGTTTACCTCATTTCCTTACCTGTGTCTTGGGAGGATGCAGCGTTGCAGGGTCGACCCCCGTCCCAGGTTCCCCAATGCAATGCCTGCAGCTCGCCCAGAGTGGCTCAGCCCAGAGCAGGAAGCCGTTCATATGGGGGTATATCTGATGGGGGGGGACAATGTGGGGAGATCACAGGACGTGGCTGGGTCCGATCATTTCTGCAAAGCCTCGAAGGTCTTCGTCAACCACAGCTATATGCAGACATCACATGAACCACAAGCTCCCCCCAACTCGCTGGGCCCTAGCAAGGTGTCTGCATTTGGCTGTCCACATCTGGCGGCAGGTGGGTAGGGCCCCCAGTGAAGAGCAGGGGCTGAGACAGCCTCGTCAAGCTGACTCCACTGGGTGAGGTCCCAGGATCTGAGACACCAGCTGGGACTTTCCCCTCCAGCTCCTTCTGGCTATGGAAAGCAAACAGAGTCCCACTAAGAGATGGATGCATGAGATTCTCAGCGCTGCCTTTGCTGCAGGGAACCCACCCCTTGGCCCAGTCACTTTACAGACCAGGCAACGCTAAGGAAACCCTCGCTCTGTGCTGGAGACCACACAAACCACAGCCCAACCTGAAACCTGCTGTCGTCTCTCATCATTTGTCTTGAGGCCTCAGGCGTAGAGACACTTTTCAGCTCAACGTGAGCTCCCACGGTGAACAGGGCTCCAGCCATCCTGGGATGCATCAACAGGGGAATCTTGATTAGGAGCAGGGAGGTGATTTTCACTCTGGATTTGGCCGTGCTGAGACCGCCACTGGGATCCTGTGTCCGGTTCTGATGGGAGATCTTCCCATCAGGAGTGATTTGTGGGTAGGTCCTGCCACCCTTCACCCCCAGTCAACCCTCGAATGTCCTGGAGAGGCCATGCTAGGTGGCGAGTGCATCATGACTCTCTTACTTCATTGCCTGCAAGCCACACGCATTATGTCTGTTCCACAAGTGGCTGGTGGATTGGTTGTACGCTGGAGTACAGCTAGTGATGGGGCAAAGGGCGAAAGCTGCGTGAATTTTGGCCAGGAATATCAGGATTCATTGAGACACTGGTTTAAAAAGCCACTGTGATGGGCTCCACGGCCTGTAACCTGGACTGTGGGACCACTGAGCCCTCTGTCCCACCAACCTGGAGAATCCCTCTCACACTGTGATACTGTGTCAAGCTACAAACCTCTGGCAGGCCCTGCACTTACACAGCCATCCCCAGGCAGGGACACACCCAGCTGAGTTCCATGAATACTTCTCACAGCCACTCATGAACCATCAATAGGGAGGCTCCAGCCAATTCCCCCCGGATCCCCAGCTTTGCACCCCAGAACTGTACTGCCCTGCCCTGGTCAGAAGCCTGGCCAGTGTAAGTTCATTGCCCAGTCTGCACCTCCCTCAATGTGGAGAGGACACGCACCAGCTTTTGTAAACTGAGCTGAGATTTCCCAAGTACTTCAACCAAACACACAGTTTTAGGTAGAATATAAAACAGGTTTATTAACTACAGACAGAGAGATTTAAAGTGGTTATAAGCATCGAGCATAGAGATCACAGTTAGTTGTCTAAGAAATAAAAATAAATTCACAGTCTGAGTTCTGCAAACTAAACAGGATTTGAATCCAGCCACGTTTCACCTTCATAGATGGTACAAGCAGGTGAGAGATTCTCAGTAAGCAGGCTGGGATTCACCTCCAGCCTGGGACCCCTTCCCCAGTTCAAAATCTTTGTCCTCCAGACGTGTTCCAGGTGTTGAATTGTGAGGGGAGTGAGGCCAAGCGGTGATGTCGCTTCCCCTCTTTTATAGTTTCTTCCAACTTACTGGAAAGATCTTTTGCTATGACGTGGGTC